CAAAATGCAAAAGAACTTCTGGAAAATATCAGTTTCTGGGAAAGAATCTCATCTCCAGGTCTAGAAAAAGGCAATAACCAATTGCAGTATCAACTGCAAAAACAGAATACATCTCAACGTCACTGTGTAGCACCCAGATGCTCTAGATGAATAGTCATCTTGATGATTTCTAGATATATGAAAACAACATACCTATTTTCTGTGACAACATTGCAGTTGTATGTCTAAGTAAGAATCCCACTTTACACTCTCGAGCTAAACACATAGAAATTAAGCATCACTTTATTAGAGTGACACCTAAAGCACCAAGTTTTCTTAGATTAGTTTTAAAATCATCATTACTTCCTCTTTTAAAAAACATCATTAATTTTTAAAATCATTACTACTCCTTCATATACGTTTTCCTCTTTTTCAAAATTTCAATTTTTTTTATAAAAACCCTCACTTCTCTCACTTTCACACACCTTGCAATTCACCTTCTCCCCTAAAACCTAAAACCCTTCAATCAGTCTCATCTCCACCATGGATGCTCAGCAACAAGAAGTCTTCAACTTCTCTCAACAAATGGAAATGGCTCAATCTTTTTCTCCCACAACTTCTTCTAAACCACCATGTTCAACACCATCTTCTTCTCTTCATAAAACCTTTTCAACCTTCATTAAACCTAATGAAGTTCACATACTTTAGCGTCCCGCTCATGTTCATCTGTCCACTCATAGTGACCAACTGGAAGTTCTTTGTGAATTACTGTGGATTTTGAAAACCTGAAAGCAAACCGTATTGACCTTTTAGTTAATTTGAGAATAAAAGACTGGGGAAACTATTTTGATCGTCTCTACGGACCCGTCTACACAAATCTTGTCAAGGTATTCTGGCATTTCGCTGAAGCTGATAAGGAGTACATTGTTTCACACATTTCAAGTGTTAAAATTGTTATCACGGAGAAATCTGTTGCTACCTTACTAGGGATGGAAAACGCTAAAGGAAAAAGGATTTACAAGGTAAACACTAAATAAAAACTGATCGTAAAAGAGATAAACCTTAAAATCTTCACTGAACTAAAAGATGATGGAAAACCCTCTTCATTCAAGGAACTTCCTCCAATCCTTCGTGTATAGTTCAAGATTATTCTGGGGAGCATTCATCACATAAAACCAACAAACTCTTCCGACAATGTCAACATAGATCAAAAGTACATCCTATATTGTCTGATGAAAGGAGAAACGATCAACTTACCCTCCATTCTATTTCGCTACCTCAGGGGTTCTATAAGAGAAACCAGAAACCATGGAAAAACCAAAAATTACATTTCTCTAGGCAGACTAATATCAGACATTCTGATAGAAATCAGTCTAGTAGATCATATGAAAAACTTCAATCTGATCGAGGATCTTTCTGTAGAAACTGGAAAACATTTTAACGAGAAAAATCTCAAGTAGATGAGGGTCATTGATAAGATTTTGGTGAAACCTAGCCTCAACACTGAAAGAGACACACTAAAGGACAAAATAATGATAGTTGATGGATATCCTCTTTTTACAAAGGTTGGTCCTCCCCATATCATAATGGACTATATTTTAATAGAAGGTCTGGATATATCACAATTTGATCCTTCCATGTTGATGGATGAACCTCCAACCATGCTGAAAAGAAAACGTGAGAAGTCTGAAAAGAAGAAAGAGAAGACCCAACAGAAAGCATTGAAGATTTTTGTTTCTGGTACAGCTACACCAACATTGGTTTCCAACCCTACTCCTTTTGATAACTTATCTATTTTCACTTCTGCTGCTACTATCTCTGTTTCTGAACCTATAATATGTTCTCTACCTTTACCACCACCACACATTTCTACCATAGTTACCACTTCATCCATCCCACCATCAGTACAAATTATTCTTGCTCCTCTTGAAAAATCTAAAGATCAACAACAACCTCAAGAGCAACCTAAAACATCCACTCCCCAACCTATTCCAACTATCAATCCACCTGAACCAAAACCACAAACACTTCCACCACCTGCCCAAACTCTTCCACCAACTGAACAAACAATTTCACCTTCTGGACAAACCATCCCACTTATGTCTTTTACCTTCTCTTCTGCCGCCATAAAAACCTTCTCCCTAGAAATACCTACAACAACATCCATTCCAGTCATTTCTAAAACCAATTCCATAATAGATAATCTTGCTATTATCACAAAAAGCACACCTTACAACCCCCTTAACCAATTTTCCACCATCTCAACTATCAATACTTTTTCTATCCATGAAGGAATAACCTTCTCATAACTTTCTGAGCACACTTCACTCTCACCTACTCACTCATCTAAATAACCATCTGATCCAGATAACTATGAAGTGTCTGATTCTGATGAAGAACTAACCTCAAAACCTTCTGAATTTCCACTTCACAGCCTTGAAGAAATTATTTCTAAACTTAAGGATAATGCTGTATGGAAAGTGCAAAAGCTAAATGAGGCATTCCGTACCAGTAGCGATCCTGCAAATCTGAATGATAGATGGAATAGATTTTAGAGATTTTTGAGTATGCAATTCATCAAACTCAAGAACGTATCTACTAAGATCAGACTCAGTGTGTCCAAGCTACTGAACCAAGGTATCTGGAGATTAAAGCCCAGAAAGTTGTAGCAAAAGAAGCTGCTAAAAAGGAAGCTGCTGAAGCAGCTCTCAAGGAAGCTAAAGAGCAATAAAGATAATTATCCAGAAAAAGGGACGCTGATAAGGAAGTTGTTGGGTTGTCACAAGATGTGCCAGAAAGTTCTTCTGCTCTGAAACAACTTTTGACTATCATGGAAGAGATGAAACAGGACCATAAATATGTGAAAGAAAGACTTGATAAGCAAGATGAGATTAAAAACAATGTTCAGAATCTGCTTACTCAACTTGTTCAGAGAAACCTTACACAAAACCCTTAATTTTTTTTTTGTGTTTTCTCTTTTTCCTTTTGGTTTTCTTACTCTGTACTCTTATTTCTACTTAATGAAAAAATTTTCTCTTCTTCATTTTGATTCTTTTTTATTATGACAAATGGAGGGAGTAATACAAATGATTTTGATAATATACCAAAGTCTCTAGAAACTCAACGCTCACATTATTATCTAACCTTCTACTTAGAATGTTTCTAGAAAATTTCAGGATCACTCCAGAACACATTGACAAAACTTGTCTCAGATGAAATGGATATAAGAATCAGGGGGAGTCTGCTCACTTTTTAAGGGATTTTTTTCTCTTTTCTTATCTTAAAATAATTTCATCAAAATACAAAGTTTTGTCATCATAAAAAATGGAGAGATTATTAGAACAAAAAGTGCTTCTAGAAAAATCCTTGTTTAGATGATAACAAAAATATATTATATGAAGTTATTTGTGCTCTAAGTTTATGATGTGCAGGAAAATGTTTCTTTCTTATCAATGCTGAATGATATCATCAGACAAGTCCTATTAAAAGATATGAAGCACATGTGTAGAACTTCAGAAAGAAAAGACAACATGCAACGTTGGTCAGAAATCTCACTTTTGATTATGATGAAAGGACAACGTACAAAGAATCATAAGTCTTACTTCTATTTCTGAATGAATCTATTATCTGATTAAAGATAATAAGAACTTTATTCTTAGAGAGTTGACTCCATAAACACCAAATCATCAAAAGTATCAAAAACTCTATATCAGAAGCATCAGAAACATCAATACGATATCTCAATAGTGTTTCTGACAAATGGAGAATACTTAGTCAATACACTTCCTAATCAATAATGAGTATCATTAAAGGCACAAATTTTCCCTCATTAATAGAGAAACATAAAAGAAATATTTTTAATGATCTTTCCTTATTTGCTTCAAAAGACTCTTTTTGAATGCCTATATAAAGAGTGTATCATCATCACTCCAAACGATGAGAAAAACTATCAAGAAATATAGAGCACAAAGTTCAAAAGCAAAAAGTCATATTTTAGCGTTCATATATTGTTTTTAAATTGTGTTTATCCTGTTTATCAAAGAAGTAAGCTATAAACTTTTCATTATAATTTTTTTCAAACAGTTATTTTTCTCAAGTGACTTTCTAGTTTGTATACTTGAGAGGGCTAAGGTGTCTTTCTAGTCTCTTAGAGGTTGTTTGTAATCTTTCAAGATTAGTGGATTAAGTCATTTTCAAAGGCGAAATCACATTGGTGGGTGGACAAAACGTAACCTTATTCTTAAGGTGGACTTGTATAAAAATAATTGTGTTCTGTTTAATTTTTATTGTACTTATTATTCAATTGTGTTCTGAGTAGCCAAAATAGTTTTGCAAAAGATTTTAAAAATCCAATTCAAATTCCCCTTCTTGTGTTTTTTTCTACCTTCATATATCACAACGGTTATTTTGACTAACTATTGTGGTAGGTAGCGCACTATGTGACATATCATCACGGTCGCGCGTCCGTGGTGGAAAGCGTCATATATACAATCACCCTTTACTTCACAACGATTGATCATCCGTTGTGGTATCCATCTTCTAACCGTTATGGTATCCCTTTTATGTAATAGTAATGGTTTTCCATTGAAACTTGTTTTATTCCTTTTTATTTTAACAAATATTATAAGAGTTCATTCGATCACTAATCTATTGAGAAAAATAAATTCAGTAATGAACAATATGTCATTTATATGTCATTTATATGCTTTTACCAACTAACAACAAAAATGTTGGCATGTATATATCCGTTGAGACTTGTATGCTAATAGTAATAGAAATTGATTACAATTGGCTCTCATATTTGCTTTATAGAGAGTAACCACCAATCACTTTATTATAGTAATGGTTTTATGCTTTATTTATACATGTTGATCTCTTATTTATACAACAAAACCAATGTGGCCAACTATACATATGCAGGGGATACTAAAACTTTAAAGCCCCTTGAATATGTGTCATTTTAGCATGTGACATTATGTCTATAGAATATTGAGTCTAGAAAACAAAGGAGAACAAGTACTTCAAATTGCTGCTAGATGCAGTCGTTTTTGAAGCAAGGCATGAGTGTTGTTCCATAACTTCTGAGCTTCTAATTCATCATTTGCTAAGCGAGAACACTTACTCTCATTACAATCTGTAAAGTATTTTCCACTTACTCCTTCTGTTTTTGGACTCAAAGCCACATAACATGTTGTTGATGCACCCTGTGATGTAGATTTGAGTAAATTTGATGCAATGAAAAATAAGGAATCTGCATGAAATTTTCAAATGTCACCATATTCAACTTTTGCTGAAATGAAATTAATGTAACTTTATATACTTAAATATTTACCTGTTATTAAGCCCTTGTTAATAATTCTTGTCTTCACAATACCAGGATGAACTGCATTCATAGTTACTCTTGCATTCCTTGCCTATAATCATATATATACGTTACACTTTTTATCAATTTTTTAGTGGGGACCAACAAGCATTATTGATGCATAGAAAGTTTTGTTTTCACTTTCTTATATTGGAAGGAAGAAACTGAGAGCAGTTTTGAGTAACATGTTCAGCAGTTGAGTTTGAGCCAAAACCATTTGGTCCTGCAATTCCTGCTAAGTATCTCAATGTTGCTTTCATGGGATTATTTTTCTTATTATTGCAAGGACAAGAAATATCATTTAAGGTTGGGTGGGACTCAAAAATTCATATATCATATATATACCGCCGTGTGTAAAACTAGATATGATGATATCTTATATTTACTGTGTAAAATTATTGTTTAATCCTAGGACCAATCTACCTAGGTGATATATGTACCTAACAAGTGAAACTTATTTCTTTCAGAAGCTTAGAACATAACGACAATGTTTTAGCAACATCATTGAAAGAGAGACAACTAGCTAGTATAGTTGATGGTCCACAAACTATGTGATTAGGCTAATACTACAGTGTAACCAACATATAGTGTGACATATGTTTGGCCCCTACATCATTTGGTCTTCAATTCAAGTCTCAATTGGTCCGCAAAGTCTGCAAATTCTAGTTCAATTGACAAAAACTGATATTAATAAGTTGGTTGGTATCACCTTAGTTCGAATCCAGAATCTCAAGTGTGATTTCAAATAGTTATCATTTCGTCTATCAATTATAAAAAATAAATATAATTTTTTAAATAATCTCAGATTATGTGTATAAGATCTTCAATAATATAATTATGTTTATGTACCAATGAAAAGTGAATAATAATGGTTAATTAAGTAACCATAAATCATTATATGAAGATTACCTCTGAAGTTAAAACTAAATGCCTTCTTCATTTTATCTTTTTAATTTACCTTTTTTTAGTGGTGTTTGTGTGGATCCAATTTGTTGCACTTCCTAATTACAATACAAAAGTATCATCATCTTATCTTATACGCTGTCAAAGTTTTACAAAGTTGAAGCAAAGATTCCTTTTTGTTTCGGACCACGGTTAGTTGTTTGTTTATGAGGAAACAAATGGTATATCACCATCATAAAATGGTTTGTTATCTTAATTAGTGAAATATGGCCACTGAAAACCATAATTAATCATTAATGGTTAAAACTAAAGAAAGAAAAATCTATCTTGTTAAATCTGATATAATGAATCACACTAAGAATGTTAACATGTGAGACAAACAATGATAATTAAAAAGTAAACATCCTCAAGTAAAATTTATATGCCAAAGAGTACTCTTGGCGAATCCTCAAGAGTAAGAAAAAAATAAAATAATAACACATCGAATTTATTTATCTAGAACAATGAAACTGATATATTCTATAGGAGAGTGTTGTTCTCTTATTTATTATATTTAAGTTGTTACAAGATATTATAAGATGAGTTTTAAAAAAAACCGTCTTCTAAATTTGTAAATACATCTTTTCTTTTTTATTGTTTCTCAATTTTTCATTTTTTTAATATATAAATCACACAAATTCAAAATATTTAAAAGTATTTATCAATTCTCTTAAATATCACTCAAAGTTCTTCTAATTCTTATTGTAAGATAATTGAGTTTCTTTGTGTTTTCTCATTATTGATAAACAGTATTATAGTGCTATATTTGTTAAAGCCATAGACCAGAGCGCCCTCGTTTACCAATTGGACCGTCCAAAAAGAATTTAGGGGAATCGCCCGAGAGGCTCCATCAACATGGAAGTCAAGTTAGAAAAAGTCCCCACTGATTTCGAGAAGATAGAAGCTTAATAACCTCCCCCAATAAGTGGTGAGTGGTTAAGACCACGACCAAGAGGTAAAAATCCTAGGTCATCGAGACCTTTATAAATACTTTATCCCTAAAAGGGATAAAGACAGACTCTAAGTCATACATATTCTCCATTATTGAAAGAGCACTATGCTCATAACCATCATCATATACTCAACCAAAGTAACTTCCCGCCTGCAACCCAACAATGTCAGTCACTTACCGGATCTCTCACCTCACGTGAGTGGGTCCCTTAAATAGCCTCAAAAACCATCGTGTAGGGCTACTCTCCTCCGTGATCAAGTTCTCACTATCCCAACGTGTAATATACCTACTAGGGCCACTGAGTTTTCCTGCCTTTGCGGGAGGAGCACACACCATGTACTTTTTTACCAGTACAATGGTGTAACACCCTGTTTTCTTTAAATCATTTATTTAAATGATTTTGTGTTTTATTTAAATATTTAAATGAATTTTAAATGAATTGGATTGACAATTAAGGATTTGACATGTGTATATGATATTTGGGGTTGGTAGAGCATAGTTCATTTACTTAGTAAAATAAGTAGGATTAAAATAATACTAAATAATTAGAAAAAAAGGTGTTGGTGGTGGAAATAGAAATAAAGGGATAGTAAGGTGAGAAGTAGAGTGAGTGAGGCCAAAGTAATATAATTAAAAGATTATATTAGATTTTGGAATAAAAGGGGATTAAGAGATCCTAACTGTGTCAGTACGTGAAAACAAGAATTTTGAGAAAAGGAGGATAGGAGAACAAGAGCTGGGAGAGGAAGATAATTCATTGTTAGAGCTTAAAGTTGCTGCTAAAAATTTAAGGTAAGGGGGATTATTCTAAATATGGAGTCAATTGCGTTATTGGGAAGGGATAAGTCCTTAGTCTCCATTAGTATTTTCCTTATTATCTTCCATTGATGAATGTTTGATGTGACGAATGGAATTGCCATGATAATATGATGTAAAAGATGTAACTATATGATTTTTGTGTACTGGTTTTTACCATGAAAATCGTATATTCTTATTGGCGAATCTTGTATGAGTTTGTGTTCATATGAGTGATATGATTATGATGAGTAAAATGTCAAAAGTGGTGATTAATCGAAGATATTGTATGTTAATTGGTAGATGTATGATGTACTAATTATAATATGTTAATTCACTGCTATTTATGGTTGATTTAAGCATTTGAGATGGAAAAATCGGAGTTTGGAATAGACTCCATAACAGAAAATGAGTTTCTGCTTCTATTGACAGGGTGAAAGATGTCAGCTGTTTGACGGAAAAAACGTCATAGTCTCTAGGCAAGCGCTAGGCCTTACTGGTGATGAGTTTTGGAAAAAGGGGATGATGGGTGTTACCCAGATAACGACCTGTCTGTCATCGTGTCAGTGGAAGCATTTTGAGATTCTGGTTCAGTTTTTTTGTAACTTTTAGTCGTGCGATTAATGTTAACTATTGTTAGGTATATTTTGGTGACTTTAATTAAATAAATGCCTGGTTAAATTGAACGAGTTGATGATGGAATTGTGTTGTGGTGTGATAATAATGTGATGATTATATAATTGAGACTTTTGGTGTGTAGTTCAGATGTGAGGACAACTTTGTTGTTGTTGTGCATGATTATTTATGATCAGATGTGAGACTGCAAATTCGTTGTTGAGTTGTTGTATGTATTATATTGTACATGCATCATATATTTTCGTTTTTGTGAGAGAGGCGAGTCAAGAGTTCAGATGAGGAGACTAATGACTTGTACGGAGCTCAGATGAGGGTGCTCGGGGTTCAGATGTTGGGACCTGGTTCGTATGAAGAATCTTTGTTGAGTTGGTACCACATGCATGAGTTGAGTCGTTGTCTTTATTGCATTGCATAAAAGTTGTGCAAATGATTGTTTTGGTGTTGTTGTGCTATTGGGTTAGTTTGGCTAACACATATGAGTTATGCTACTTGATGAAATTGTTATGTATGAAAGATGATATCTTTGTTTTAGGCTACCGTTGCATTTCTTTTGCAACATTATATTTTTTAAGTATATTCTCACCCCTTTGTTGTTTGTAGTGTTCTGTGCTTCTTCTTGGGGTACAAATAAAGAGGTAGATGAGTAGTTGTTTTAGAGATGAAGGATGGCAATGAGGCTATTCTTCCTTTTCTGCTTTCTGCAATTTTAGATTTCCATTGCTCTGATCTAAGACACAGGGAGTCCAAACATTTATGACTTATTTTATGATGAGTAGTTTTTGGGAGAGTTAGATGTTATAACTCTTAATGTTTTGATTTATTTTGATGTTGAGGGATTTTGCCATACTACTTTTAATTTCAAATAAAGGTTATTATGTGACTTATTTAATTGATGAGTTATGTTTATTAATTTATTCTGCTGCGATGGGCCTTAGTAAAGGCGAGCATGTGATGATAGGTGTTTTGAATTATGTTTTTATTTAGAAGTATTACATGACATGTTTGTGACGAGTGTGACACCCTAAATGTGAATATTTGTTTATATTTGAATTATTTCACAATTTTACGTGTTGGGATTTTAGGGTGTGTAATTTTGTTTGTTCCCTGGTATGTAACATGTGTGTGAAATACTGTCGATGCTTGTTTTCTTTTCTAATTGCTTACCAGCAAGAGCAGAATTGAAACAAGTAGGGGATAAGCATCTACTTCTATGAGGTGTTTCATGTGTGGAGTGTTGGTTCAACATGTCGTTGATTTAAGAGTGCAAGTGTTGTTGAGACAGTCTTTGATGGAAACATATCAGGTATTTGTGATATTCACTTCTCTGCGAGTGAAGGGAGATGTTATGGCTAGTGATATGTCGGTGATGTGTGAATTTATTGATGTGTTTTCTAAAGATATCTGTAATTTTCTATCAGAACGTGAAGTTGAGTTTGCCATAGATTTAGTACTTGGTACTAGCCCTATGTCGATGGCACTGTATAGGATGTCTACTTCAAAGCTGAGTGAGCTGAAGAAACAGTTAGAGGATCAACTTGAGAAAAGGTTTGTTTGACCAAATGTTTCAGCATGAGGAGCGTCAGTGCTGTTAGTTAAGAAGAAAAATGGTAGAATGAGGTTTTGTGTTGACTGTGGACAGTTCAAGAAGGTTACTATCAAGATTAAGTATCCTTTTATGAGAATTGATGATCTGATGGATCAGTTTGTTGGTGCTTGTGTGCTTAGCAAGATCAATTTGCGGTCGGCTTATTATCAGATTCATGTGAAGTCCAAATATATTCCGAAGAATGCATTCAGGACGAGGTATGGTCACCACGAGTATTCAGTGATGTCGTTTGGTGTGTCTAATGCGTCTGGAGTGTTCATGGATTACATGAATAGAATATTCCATCCGTACTTAGATCAGTTTGTTGTTGTGTTCATTGATGATATTCT